AACCTGAGCAAGTAGTTTCATTTGAGGGCTTTCTATATGCCAGAAACTGCCCATGGAGTCTCTCATTGAATCACCAAGAGGTAGAGAGTAGTACAGAGGTCAGTGCAGCTTAATGTGCTGTGACATTATGTACCTGGGTCTCAAGAGTGGGGAGCCAGAGGAAGCCCAGGTCTGACTACAGCCTGTTCGCAGAACAGCTGCACTTCCTCAGGTTTCCTGGTGGGCAGTACTGCCGCAGAGGGAAGGTGCCCTGTGGGCCAGGGAGTTCCAAGTTCCTTGACGTCTGTTAAGTATTTCGTGTTATTGTAAATTGTCCTCTTATTCTATACTCTGCTGATCCTTTCAGGATTCATTCTAAGCTCTCGGTCATTCGAAGATGGGGCCATAGACTTGTCTGGAATAATAATTAGCCTAACACTTTTCTTGTAGATGGCTCTGGAGTTGCACAGACCTGGGTTGAAATTCCAGCTCCTACACTTGCTTACTTGTGTCTCTTAACAAGTTACCTAGCCTCTCCAAGCTTTAGTTTCCTCATCTGTAAACTGAGGATAATAGTGGGGTTTTGAAATCTCTAGATGTCTTGTTTGGTTTTTTTTGTGCAAGAAGGCAAATGGGAAAGATTCCAGTTCTACATGACAAGTAATGTGACCAGGCTCTGACACTCCCTGCCCCCCGCACCCCCCACCAAAGACATGCCAGCGATCTCTGCTTTTCAAACACATGGGTCCTCAAGTCCTTTGGTGCAAATCGGCAAAGGAAAATTAGAGGGACTGAGGGGTCCAGCAAGGATCTGAGAGGGTTTGTTGCCTGAGATGAAGACATGGGGTTTGGCCCAGGTGTGGGTGCTCTGGATATGGCTGGAGAAGCTCAGGTGTGGTGTGGGGTTCAAGCAGCTTCTAACCAGCTGGGTGTTTTTTTCTGTAGTAACTATCTTGGGACTGATTTGCAGATGGGTGTTGGTCCTGGAATAGACTCTAAAAAATCACTGTTTACCCAGCTCTGTAGCCTTAGAGAGTGGGCAGGCCCTGTGTGCAGCTCGAGCTGAGAGAAGGTAATGCCCAGGGTGACCAGGCACTTACTGGGCATGGGCTGCCATCCTCTAGAGGTGTCTCCTTATGCCTCTGGAAGCAGATGGAATGGCTGATGTCTGTGCCATCCTTCAAGTTCAGGTGCACATCTGGGGCTCAGCAGTCTGCAGCACGAACACCTCCACCTTGCAGATGTGTCCACCCTGGAACATGGGGCTTAGCTGGTGTGAATCAGACTAGTTCATTGCCCAGCTCAGTGAAGAGTCTGTGTCTTCAGGGATGTGAAAAGCCCCAGGGCTGGTTCAGCCATGCAGGGCTTGGGTTCTTGAAGGCAGGAGGTGGGGAGGGGTCTTAAAAGAAAGCCTTCCTGATGAAAGCCACTGGGAGGAGGACTGGCCCTCTCCAGAAGAGGTCTTCTCTCAAGAAGAGTCCTGCTTTAATAAGAAAGGAGGGCACATTGGGCACCGGGGGAGCAGGGAAGGAAAATCTGCTCCAGGCCACTGAAGTCCTGAGGGGATCAGGGACCAGCTTATAAGTCCAACACTGGAAAGGGCCAGCCTTAAAACTGAACAATAATCCCAGCTACTTGGGAGGCCAAGGCAGGAGGATTGCAAGTTCAAGGCCAACCTGGGCAACTTAGCAAGACCCCCACCTAAAAATAAAAAGGACGGGAGGTGCAGCTCACTGGTGGAGCGCCCCGAGTTCCATCTCCAGTACCGCAAAACAAAACAAAAAACCAATGAAGGAATAACAAATTAGCTACCAAATAACAAAGGTGTTATACAATGGTTTTATTAAGTGATGAATCAAAATTCAGTTTGGCAGGCTTTGGTGCGCTGGGCCCTGCTCCAGGTTCCCGACTCCTGCAGTCCTAAGGCGGCTGCTGGGCTGCTGGCTGGGCTGTGTTCCTCCGGTCCCTGTTTCCGTAGCCCCCTGGGCGTGTCCACTGGCCCATCACACCGTGTCACCCCAGCTCATCTGCTGTCTCGTTAGCCTGGGTTCTTGCAGACAGGGATTGACTTATGTCCCCAGTGCCTGACACTGCCTGGCTCCGGTGGGCTCCCACCAGGTATTGGAAAGAAGAGTGCGAGATGAGGGAGGCAGGCGGGTCTTGTCCTCTGTGCTGTCTCTGCGAGTGCTGTTCTCACCCGTGTATCCACAACTCCTTCACGAAGGTTTTACTGCCACCTCCAGATCCGTCTCAAAGCCCGTCTCAAGCTTGTTTCTTTTTCTGTGGACTTGTGTCCCCTCTCCCTCCTCCAACCCCTCTGCTGCCTCTGCGACCCTCATTGCTTCTTGCCTGGCCTGTCCCCACAACCCGCCACTGGGGTTTCCTCTTTCAGTCTGTCGCCCTAAACATTTGCGGGTGTCACGTGGCCGCAGTGCCGTGGGCCTTGGGTGGCATGGCTCTGTGTTGGAGGAGGTGGGGCCAGGTCTCCAACCCACACCAGCCTCTCTTCGGCATCAGTTTCTTTTGTCCTGTTGCTGTCACTCTGAACTCGTTGCTCACGCAGGCAGCGCGTGAGGAGGGAGGAGTGTATTGACTCCTTGGTTGGCATTCAGGGCCCGATGCCATCTTGCTCATCCATCCATCTTTCCCAGTCACGTCCGTGGCTCTTCCACACATGCTGTACATTCCAGCCAAACTGATATGCGCCCTTTGTTTCCACCTCTTCTCCGTCACCATGGCCTCACTTCTCCTTGCCCGCATGTCTGCATCCTATTTGTGATTTAGCCCAGACGCCCTCTCCTCCAGGAAGCCTTCCCTGCTGGAGTGTCTGGTGTGACTGCCACTCACTGCAAGGAAGAAAATTTGCATGTCCCCCCTCCAAAAAAAAAAAAGTTTTGCCCAGATTTACTGACTTCTCACAGTACATGTCATTTTACTTCCCTGCCTCTGACATCCGGTCAGATTCTTTACAGCCATCTTTGTGCCCAGTACATGAGATAGACTTAAAAAGGTGCCGGCTGCATGATCGAACGCTTATTTCCCTCCAGTGTGTGTCTCCCTTAATCTCCACGCAGCCCTTTAACACGAGGGCTGTTAATATCTCCATCTTCCAGAGGGGAAGCCAAGACTAAGACAGATTAAACACCTCGCCCGGGGTCACACAGCTAGCAAGGCGCAGGTCCGAGTTCTGTGCTCAGGCTTTTGGCCTTTTAACTAACCGTTATGTGCCCCAAATGAATGGGATGGATACAGCTCGCAAAGAGGAGGTATAAAACTGAAGCTGCCACCAATTCAGAAAGACTTTTTATTTTCTAAATCCCATGCCCAGTGGGTTTAGCTGTGTCCTTTCCCAAGAATAATAGCTCACAGTTAGGGCACCATAAAGGTCAGGCAGGGAGGGGAGAGAGAGGCAGCAAGGGGGATAACTGGTCTTCCCAGGCTTCCTCATGGCAGTGACATCCCAGGACCTGGCATGTCAAGGTCCCTCGTCCAAGTAGTCCCTGGGGACCCTGGAGTGTTGTAGAAAGACAGCAAAATTGCCCCTTTGTCTCTGCATTTTCATGTAGCCCCCGTGTCCTTAAGTGGTAATGAGTGTCCTTAGTCCTCTGGGACCAGAGATGAATCCATCCCCATTCAAGAGCATCTGCTGCAGTGGATGGGGTGAGACTTACAGATAACTGTAACCTTCAGGAAAAAAGGGTTAATGTGATTCCAAAAGACACGGTATTTTACTGTTGAAGTGGGAGAAGCCCTGACAGCTCCTGATTGCAACAGAATCCTGAACCTTGGCTTCTGACTTGGTTTGTAGGAGCTTGTTTCTAAGCTGTTTTGACACCCAACTACCTGGCCAGAAGTTAGCTGAGGGCTGTGGTTTTACCCCATACAGGGGTGATTAAAGGCTTTGAGGCCTCAGCAGCCTGTCTTTAAATTAATAAGCAGAGATAGGAACCAGCGGCTCCCTCCCTGCGTGGAACTGTCTGGCCAGCTGCAGCTCTGGACTGGAAAGGGAATAGCTGAGCAGGTCCTGAGGGGTCCTTTGTACCTTGCACTTTATGCAGAGTCATTTAATTTTGCTGCAGACCTGTTCTTTGGCAAAGGAATCAACCATTCAAACAACTATAATTTGCCCAAGGATTGCATGGCTGAGAGTCAGCTCTTAACTGCAGTGTGATACTGGGTGTGGAAAATCAATTAGCAGGCACAAGTGGAGCCAGGCTACTGGGGGACAGAAAAGAACTGGTGTGAGTGTAAGGGCAGAATCATTAGGAAATTTCTGTGTTCTTGTGGCCATCTTTTAGTGAGGAGAGGCTGTTTGGTTAGAAAGGCCTGGCTGGTGGACAGAGCCAAGCTTAAGATGGGTGTTCAGCAATAGGGAAGCAGAAGATGGGAGAATCTGTGAGTCTCCTTTGATCATTTCAAGCCATGTGTCGCTGGTGGATGGGGTGGCCTTTCTAAATCAGAGTAACAAGTAAAAACAGAAAGCATGACTCAAAATCAGACAATAATCCAAATCACAGAGTTGGAGGATGCTCTACCCAGAGGAGACCTCAGAGAGAATATAAGGTTTGTTTGCTTTACAGACACAGAAAGCTGCAGCCTGGCGGGGAAAGCATCATGTCTGTTGACAGTGTGGTAGCCCAGAAGCTGGACAGCTTGCTCGTCCAGATGGAGTCTGGAAGACGAGGTTTAGTGAAGGAGCAAGAGTTGAACGGAGCAGGCTCACAGGAAGGCGAGGTGGCAGCTTAGTCCACATTACTAGGAAATTTGCCAGTGAGGAGGAGGGTGACTGGAAGGCAGCAGGGCCAGGTCAAGGTTTGCAGGCTACGGGGGGCCTGGGTAACCTAAGAGAAGGAAAATAGTCCAGGGTGGGGGAAGCTATGCTGTGGAAGGAGGAGGGCAGGAAGGCATTGTGGGGTGGGCATCCTTTTGCAGCTCTGAGATGGGCTCCAGGGTTCAGGCAGGATGCTGTAAGGTGGTGTCCGGGTGAGCTGACGGCTTCTCTTCCCTCTGCCTCCCTGTAGGTGATTGCCGTGGTAATGGATGTTTTCACAGACATTGACATCTTCCGAGACCTTCAGGAAATATGCAGGGAGCGGGGAGTGGCTGTGTACATCCTTCTGGACCAGGCTCTCCTTTCCCACTTTTTGGACATGTGCATGGATCTGAAGGTTCATCCCGAACAGGAAAAGGTTTGTAGTCTGCTATTTCCAGTTTCGCCGCAATCAATAAACATGATCGACAAAGTGGTTGTTGGTGGTGTCCCCATTTTCAAGTGAGGGAACTGAGGCTGTAGGCAAAGTCATTTGCTCAGAATCTCGAAGAAAATGAACAGTGCCTATGACCTCATGATTCCACTCCTAGGTGTTCACCCAAGAGCAATGAAAACAGGGCCACACAGAGACCGGGGTATAAATGTTTACAGAAGTGTTACTCATAAGGGCCTAGGATGGAAACAGTCCAACGTTCCTCAGCTGATAGATGGATAAACATATATTCACACAGTAGACTATTGTTCAGCCTTCAAAGGAAGCAAGTATTGACATATGCTATGACATGGATGAGCCCGAAAATGTAATGCTGACAAAAGACCACATATTCTATGATTCTATTTATGTGAAAGGCTGTAATGGAGAAATCTATTCAGACTGAAGACAGATGATCATCAGGACTGGGGAGGCAGGTGGGGGTGGGTAGGTGGTAGCTTAGACTGGCCGACTGCTGCGTATCTCCATGAATGCACAGGAAAACCACAGAAGTGTACAGCAAGTGGGTAAGCTGAATGGTAAGAGAATTCGATCTCAAGCTGTTGAAAAGCGTCTAGCTTCAAACCTTGGCCTCTCCTAACACAGAGCGCAGATCAGCTCCATCCTGCAGGCACCTTGGATGCTGCTGCTTGTGACAGTAGCCCCAGGAGTCCCCACTTTTCATCCTGTCACCYACCATTGTTCACTTGGGCTCTGTCCTGGGCACCGCTCAGTGCTCTTGACAAATGTCGCATGACTTGCTCCTCTCAGCAGCCTTGTCAGGTTAAGTGGCAGGGTCCTGATGCTCTAGACTGGGAAATGGTGACACAGAGAGCACGTGTGTCCACAGGTCACAAGTAGTGGCCCTGGGGCCCGACTGTCTGCCTCCTATCCTGTATGCATAATCACTGTCCTGTGCTGCTCATTTCTCATTATTATAAAATTAGACCGCGTGTCCTTTTCTCRGGTCATGAAAATATTCAAGTATTTAAATGTAAGGATGCACGACTTAGCTGGCTTGGTCTCTTTRGTAGAGAAAGGCAAGACAAATAGATGTATTTATTTTAGAATTCATTTTCTAAAAATTAAGCAGCCTAGACTTCGACCTTCAGAAATTGATTTATTCACCACTTATTTGAATACCTACAGCTCCATGCCACATGCTATTGTGAGTRCTAGAAATAAAGCGTTCAGCAAAGCAAGCAGAATTCSGGCTTTGCTACGCCAGGTTTCYGCATGGGAGACACTAACTGAACAYCTTGTTATTATCAAGCAGTTTGGCTTGAAAAATTTTGGCTGTTTAACTTCTCCCATAGAGTTCTTGTTGGCTGTTTCCTCTAATGACAAAGTGGAGGATTGGGCTTAACTAGGTAGTTACTAACCTGTCACTAGTGCCACAGGCAAATAGATGATGGAGGTAGGATTGGGACTTAGAGACCAAATGAAATGGGACAGCCACGTGACTGTCGCCTTAAAAGGGAKATCAGGAGGAAAACACAAGTCAGGTCTGGGAAAAGCAGTCATCTAACTGAGCATTTAGTCCTTGACTGCTCATCCAGCACCAGGAGAAGAAATAGAAGGTGTCCGTGTGTAATTTCAAGGCGCTTTTTCTATAATTAAGGCTGTGTGTGAGCAGCAGAAAAATCACAGAATCRCCCTAGCCACAGCTTTGACCCTGCGATCGGCTCCCTTCATCTTCTCAGCAGGAGCCCAGGAAAAAGGTGCTGATGCAGTTGCCCACTATTGATTGCTCCCTCCATGGTCATCYAGATTCTCAGAAGGGTTGAAGGAGGTCTCTATCTCTGGATGCTCCAGTTTTTGTTCTGTCTCAACTCCTTCCTAGGGAGGTACCATCTCCGCGGCTTGCCCTTCCCACCGGGGTATGTCTGCTAGTGATTCTGTGCCCTTATGAAGTCAGGGTTGACTCCCACCTGCCCTGGGCTCTGTGGCTGGCTTAGAACTTTGGATTGCCCTGTCTGYAGGAATGTGTGTAGGTGTTTAGAAGTGCTTTGGCCACAATCACAGAGGCCTGCACAACATTCAGATGTGTGTCCAAGGGAAAGATAGGTAAAACCACACCTAACTCTGTCAATAGTGGTATTTTTTTTTTTTTAAATATTTTATTTTTTAGTTATCGGCAGACACATCTTTGTTTGTATGTGGTGCTGAGGATCGAACCCGGGCCGCGCACATGCCAGGCGAGCGCACTACCGCTGAGCCACATCTCCAGCCCCAATAGTGGTATTTTTATGCTGTTCTTGTATGTTGATCCTTTATGACAGCTTCTGAGTCACTGCCTCCTCCAGGAAGTCCTCCTCCAGCCAATTCCACATGGACTTCTGGGAACTTTTCTAATTTTCTAAAACCTAAAAAAACTTTACCTTGAACTAAGATTTATAAAGAAGTTACAAAAATAATATATGAAATTCCTGAATACTCTGCCCAAATTTTCCAAATGTTGACATCTTATAAACCTCACCACAAATAACAAAATCAGGAAATAAGCTTGATCTAATAACCAATCTGCTGGCCTCATGAATTTTGCCAGGCKTTCCACTAACGCCCTTGTCCTGGCCCTGGAGCCAGTCCAGCACTCCACCTTGCATTTAGGCCTCAGGTCTCCTTGGCTCCTGTCCTCTGGAGCTGTTCCTCTAYTTTTCTTTGTCTTTCAGGGTCTGATGCTTTTGAAGAATATGGACCAGCTGTCTGTAGAATTTGGGTTTGTCTGATGTTTACTCGTGGCTCAATTCATAATATTTTGATAAGAATGCCACAGCAGTGTTAGTGTATCTAGCCATAGTTTTTTGTTTGTTTTGGCTTTTGTTTTTAACTTCTTTTAAAACAATGATGGATTCATACAGTTATACTGATAACACTGAGAAGCTCCAAGTTACCTTCAACTAGTTTCCCCAGTGGTGATTCTTTTGTGATTTATAGTTCAATTTTGGAACCTGGAAATGGACATTGGAGCAGTGTGTACATATGTAGTTCTTTCCCATTTTATCTCATGTGGACATCAAGACAGAACTATTCCATCACTGCAAAGATCTCCSTGATACAGTCACATAGCTCCTCTCCCAGTACCCCACCACTACCACTTTCAACCCCTGGCACCCACTAATTTGTTYTCCATCTGATCATTTTGCCCTCTAGAGTCTGTTATATAAATAAAATTATGCAGAATGTGCCCTATTTAGATTGGCCATTGACACTTGGCAGTATTCACCCATCATTTCCAGGTTTTGACTTTATAAGTAAATTGCTCATAAATATTCATGTAGAGGTTTTGGGTAGCCATAGGTTTTCTTTTCTTTGGTTCATGCAAGTCTTGCCATAGGCTTTTAATCATTCAGTTGGTTTTCTTTCTTATTTTAGTTCATGAGGGCAAGAAGCATGCCTAGTATCTGTTGTTTCAGGGCTTGGCACATAGTAGGSGTTCTGTCAGTTTGTGGAATGGATGAGAGTCAAACAATAATCTTAAACATTTAATTTGAATGTGTAAGATTTATAACAACATGTAGTTTCTGGTCTGCTCTAAAGAATGCAGACTGCAGGAACTCAGGAGGCTGAGGCGGGAGGATGCAAGTTCAAGGCCAGCCTGTCTCAAAAAAAAATTTTTTTTTTAAAGAAAAGAACTGGGGTTGTAACTTAATGGGATGATGCCCCTGGACTCAATCCCCAGTATCAATCAAAGGGAATGCAGACTGTCTTATTTTTCATACCATTGTATATGCATCTCAAATGTCACTTTACAGGAATAGAAATCTGCGTGCATGTGTATGCAGTGTACTGCCAGTGCACCTTTTTTGTTACACATGCACTGGTAGGAGATGTGACCTTGCAATTGAACCCCACGTGATTTGAGTGTTTCTGCTGCAGTTTAGTCCTGTGTCAGAGAAGGCTTATCCTCTGCTCCTGTCTTCAAATTCCTTACTGTGTGKGGGACAGAGAAATAGGCTACTATTCCATAGTGATGTCATTAAACAAAAGATTAGAAGAAGTATCAACTTATCTTAGCCTTGTCAAAATGTATTTATTATTGGCATGTTTTCTTTTGTGATTTTATTTCCCACATTTTGTTTCAAAATCATTTCTTGGGCTGTGTGTGGTGGCACATGCCTGTGATCCCAGCAACTCAGGAGGTGGAGGCAGGAGAGTCATAAATTCAAGACCAGCCTTGGGCAATTTAGTCTTATAAGCAATAAAAAGTAAAAAGGGCTAGGGAGCTCAAGGTATAGTTCTTATGGGTTCAATCCCCAGTACTAGGGGAAAAAAATCATTTCTTGGTTCTGTTATTTACTCTCCCAAAAGGTGAATGCTCTTTTAGAGCACACACACATGTGAACTAAGGGTCTCAAAAGTAAATACAAGCTGGGTGTGGTGGTGCACACCTGTAATCCCAGCGACTTGGGARGTTGAGGCAGGAGGATCATGAACTCAGAGCCAGACTCAGCAACTTAGTAAGGCTCTAAGCAACTCAGTGAGACCCCTGCCTCTAAATAAAATACAAAAAGGGCTGGGGATGTGGCTCAGTGGTTAAGTGCCCCTGAGTTCAATCCCTAGTACCCAAAAAAAAAAAAAAAAAAGAAAAGAAAAGAAAAGTAAATACAAGAAAAGAACATACACAAAGACAGACTAGAAGTAATGTTACTCAAGAAACATCAGGCTCGTGTGCCACGTGTGGTATTAGAGTGGTGACCCCAAGCCACTGACTGCCAGCACAGTATTTGTGAATGGTAAACTAAGCCCTCTGGTCCTGCTCATTTGCTTACTGGATGAGTATCATTGAAGTGTTCATTGATTGATATTTTTTTTTTTTTTTTTTTATCCCCTGCTCCCTCCCTGACAGCTGATGACGGTGCGGACTATCACGGGAAACATCTACTACGCAAGGTCAGGAACTAAAATTGTYGGGAAGGTTCACGAAAAGTTCACACTGATTGATGGCATTCGAGTGGTGACMGGCTCCTACAGGTACGTTTCCAACAGGTGCCTCGCTTATTAATCCACATTCTTCACRTGAAGATATGACATTGTTCCTCTCAGCGAGAGCCTTTGCAGCTACGCATTCCCACGTGTGCACACCTACGTGCAAATGGTTGATCAAAGTCTCCTCCTGTCGGAGGTAATGAGATGGGGTCACTTCCCCTGTGCCCACAAAACAAAAATGCAAAAGTTAAACTAGCTTGGAGATCACGGAGTCTCCAGTCCTAGGGTGAAGTCTTGGCCCAGGCCTGGGGTTATCAGTGACAYAGCCTCAAGTCCCAGTTCCTTGGGGATTTGGACCATGTTGTCACTGGAAGGTAAGGGCAGTTACAGGGGTTGGCATCAGTGTTGCAGGCAGACCTGAAGCTCTCCCCTTCCTTCCTTTTGCTTCAAGCCRTATCAGTTAGTGCTGTAGTCTAGAAAATACTGATCAAGTTCCCAATTCACCTTTGAAGTCTCACTTTGATGATGGTGTCTTCGGTGGGTAGCGGGTRTTCAATGGAGGGTGGAGATAACAAGTGGCTAAGATTCATCTCAGGAAGTTGTGCCATTTTTACTCATGTGGCTCCTTGGCTGCACGTTTTGCTCCCTCTACATAGATGGTCCATTGATGTGCAAGATGTGTGTCTGTACAGTTTAGAAAAGAAAARCCTTCTTGAAAAAATGTGCATCATYGAGTGATAAATATKTATGGGCCCAGGGTCTGGCAGAGAGACAGTGAGATAAAGAAGCTCTTGACACTTTTTCTTTCATACAGCACCATCTTCGATCAGAACAGAATTAGAATTGTTTCTTGACTTCYTTTTGCAAAATCTTCTGAATACCAGAAGAAAACTAGTCCCCCCCCCCCAAAGAAGAATTTCTCCATGCYAACAAAACTTAGCTTCAAGTGGTTTTTGGCTGTTCTAAAAATCTCAAAATATAAAAACTGCCCTCTTCCAATGAAATAAGGTACCACCAATGATGATGACRGCTCCATTTGTTAGGTCATACTGTCATCCTGGTGTTGGGTAGACACTTGGTTTACATTATCTCATTGAGGGTTTTCAAAATAATCTTCCTTCTTAGGCTTTGAAGGAAGTTCTCTGCAGTGTGTGCATTAAGCAATGTTCTTGGTTGCAAGAGGCAGGGCTGATAGGATGTTTTATGATCTCATTAAAGCACCCTACTTCTGGTACAAGTCTCTATCAGTGGTGTGACTAAAATGTCAGAAGCTAACTCAAGCTRCTTTATGCAGAATGAAACTTCTCAGCTCACACAACAGGAGGTGTGGAAAGGGGAGTGGCTCTCAGCTCCTCCTGACCTGGCTGGACACTTATCAGAACATTGTTTCCTGGTTGTGCTTTTCCCTGGCTGATCTCTATTCCCAAGCAGGCTCTCCCTTTGAAGGCAAAGATCCCAGCTTATTTCCATGGTCTTCCGTAGCTGACTTCCTCTCTCAGYACTCTGAAACTCACTGCACTGGTAGGGTCACGTGCCCACCCTGGATGAATCCAAGGGGACCGTACAATCCGGCCAGCCTGGAACACCCACCCCCACTGAGAATGTAGAGGACACATGCTCAGAGCCTTTGAGACAGGGCTGGGCATGGGCTCTTTTTCCAGAGGAATGGGAAGGGGTGCTGGACAGGCAGGGGCACGTGGCCACCAATAGCTCTAAACGTGTTTGGAGTACTAGAATTCCGGTTAAACTAACAAATTATTTCCCTTTGTGAAAGGGAAAGAGGTAGTACGGAACCGGCACTGGTGACTGATTCCTTAGGGCTGAGCCCAATCTAGAATCTGCCACCACCTCTCCACTATGTCRTCTCTAGCAGGTTTCTTTGCCTCTAAAATGAGGGTACTGGCCCAAATATTTCAGAATCCTTTCTAGTTTTTAAAACTTAGARGCTAAGGATTGTGTAGGTTAACCGTTGGCTTTCTTAGTTTTTGGTGACACACGTATCTATTATATGGAAATGTGAAGGCTGGTGAATTCACACTAAATGGTATGTGTGTTACCACCACAGCTGTGACTTACATGGCAGGATACCTGGGCTTTATCAGGTTGATAGTAAGTGAACTGAAATTCCACATTCTTACCTGCTTCCGTTGTTGGTTTTCATCCCTTCAGCTTCACATGGACAGATGGCAAATTAAACAGCAGCAACTTGGTCATTCTGTCTGGCCAAGTGGTCGAATGCTTTGATCTGGAGTTCCGCATCCTGTACGCGCAATCAAAGCCCATCAGCCCCAAGCTCCTGTCCCACTTCCGGATCAGTGGCAAGTTTGACCACCTTGCTGACCGCAAACCACAGTCCAAAGAGCTCACGCTGGGCAACCTGCTGCGCCTGCGGCTGGCCAGGCTGTCAAGTTCACCCAGGAAGACAGACCTGGGCTTGGGGGCGCCCCTGGAGAGTGAGGCAGATGCCAAGCGACAGGACTCCAAGTCCTCCACTGTCAGCGAGGAGGGTCACTTCCATAGCCACAGGGACATTCTGGGGGACAGAAAGGCTGTTGATGTCGCCACCCAGACAGAGCCGGAAGAGGAGACGCCCTCGGTGAGCGTGAGGGAGGTGGGGACACAAACCAGCAGCAGCACCCTGTGTGCTGGGACCCAAACCACTGTGAACACCAGGGTGGCGACCTCCCAGACGGTGGTGTGGACCAAGTCGACCACCACACAGACTGACGCGGATGAGAGCGGGATCTTTTCTCAGGGAACTCAGTCTGAAGAAGGGTCCCCAGTATCAAAAATGTCTGTGTCGAGGTCTTCCAGTTTGAAGTCTTCCTCCTCCACGTCTTCCCAGGGCTCGRTGGCCAGCTCCATCGGCTCCCATGCTTCCCTCAGAGCCACCGACCCCCTCAGTACTGGACACACCAAGTACCTGGGCACCCCTCACCTGGAGCTGTGCCTGCGGGACTCCTTCAGAAACCTGAATAAAGAGCGGCAGTTGCACTTGGCTGGCGTGAGGTCCCGGCTCAACCACATGCTGGCCATGCTGTCGAGGAGAACGGTCCTTTCTGAGAACTACCTTAGCATCAGTCCTGGGAATTTCACCAGAGCATCAGTTAATTTGGTTGCTRTTAGAGATTTAGCACTTTATCCCTCTTATCAGTGACTTCAGTGTGACTCCAGCTGGGTATGGCCAGAGCTTCCTGCTTTAAAATCATCACACGCCCCTGAACTGTCTCTCTTTCACTTGACTTTAGCACCTTGACCACCTTTGAATTTCTGTTCTGTGCATTATTTTATGTGGTTTTTGTTTTATCTTTGTCATGTAGCAACTGGGTATTGATGGTATGATTTTAAACACTATGGGTACAGGTTTTTTTTCACTGTTTTAATATTGGTAACTCTTAAAGAGAATGCTGAGGTTCATTTAGTAAGACATAAAATGTTCCACACTTTTCTTGTGTGCTATTCTTAAACGTCTGAGTCACTGCCGTTTTTATGATCAAAATCCCATTTAGAAAAACAAGACTGTTTCTTAAATGTTTATCTCTGTAGAATATCTATTATCTTAGCATTAAATAAACAATTTGTTTGCTTGAAATTTTTAACTTTCTGGCATTTTTCTGACTCTCTAACTTTTGCATTTAAATACACCTAACAGGTATCTGAATGATTTTGTTTTAGTATTGGGGTGGGGAAAAAGTAAATGATCTAGATTATAAAATGGAAAAAATGTGTTTGCTTAATAGTTAGAAGACATAAAGCTATCATTGGGGATCATACCACCCTTACCATGATGGAGACCGATGTTGCTCTGAGTTTGGGGGAACTTGCAGCAGTCCAGCCTCTACATGTGCACTAGCTTTTCTGTTTTCAAAGAAAAAGCCTGAACTGTTTCAGTGAGGGCCTCGGTCCTCTGCTTTTCTGCCAAAGGAGGCCTTTGGGTGCATTTCTGGATTCATGCCCAACGTAAGCCCTAGTGGCCCCATGGGCCCAATTTCATCAGATGGGTGTATTGACAGTGTTTAGCAATCTTATATCCCAGGGAAGGGGCAAGAGAGGACACTGACAATTATACCAGATTCCTGGTCCGGTAGCAGGCACTGTGACTGGTTTCTACATCCTGCTAATCAGGATTGGTGTGGCTGTGGAATCCAGTTTTTGTCCAGTCTTATGCACATGGACAGATCAAAGGGAGAGAGTTAAGCAGTGGCTTCCTCCTGGCTTGCTCGAGCAAACAGCTCTGTAATAGGGAGGGTGTTGTCTGCCACGCAGAATGCTGCTGCACCTGGGTCAAGAGCACTCCTGCAGGTTTTCATGCGTGATCCAGGACTCCCTTGCCRTGGATGGGTCATATGCTGGTTTAGTGCAATATCTGTGGCTATGAACCAAATTTACGGAACTGGTTCATGTCTGTTGCAAACGACTCTGGGCTAAGCCCCGAATAAACATGGTTATCTGAAACCATTTTACAGATTTAGGTCACTTTTTTTTTGTTTGTTTGTTTTTTTTATTGTTGGTTGTTCAAAACATTACATAGTTCTTGATATGTCATATTTCACATTTTGATTCAAGCGGGTTATGAACTCCCATTTTACCCCGTATACAGCTTGCAGAATCACATCAGTTACACTTCCATTGATTTACATATTGATATACTCATGTCTGTTGTATTCTGCTGCCTTTCCTATCCTCTACTATCCCCCCTCCCTTAGGTCACTTTGTATGTGCTATTGTTTGTGACAATTTGGTAGAGAGCTACATAGGTTAGATAGCTGTTTTCAATTTTCTTTAGGCCCAGATTAAGTAGTATGACACAGCTGGTAAATGGTGACATGAGAGTGTAAACACAGGTTTCCAGATTCTGTGTTCAGGACTTTTATGTTTTTCTACTTATAGGATCAGAGGCACTGGATCATGTACACCGAGCGATGGATGGCAGTTAATGGGATTGTGAATGAAAGCAGAAACAGCCTCAAGAACAGATAGATATAGGTGCAAAGCCCTTTTTTTTTTTTTTTTTTTGTATCAGGGATCTAGAGGCACTCTAGCACTGAGCCACATCCCTAGACTTTTTTATGTTTTATCTTGAGATAGGGTCTCACTAAGTTGTTTATGGCCTTGGTGAATTTCTGAGGCTGGCTTTGAATTTGTAATCCTCCTGCCTCACTCTCCTGAGCTGCTGGGATTACAGGCATGTGCCGCCATGCCTGTCCAAAGCCCTAATTTTTTTTTTTTTTAAGAGAGAGAGAGAGAGAGTGTGTGTGTGTGTGTGTGTGTGTGTGAGAGAGAGAGAGAGAGAGAGNGAGAGAGAGAGAGAGAGAGAGAGAATTTTAATATTTATTTTTTAGTTCTCAGCGGACACAACATCTTTGTTGGTATGTGGTGCTGAGGATTGAACCCGAGCCGCACACATGCCAGGCGAGCGTGCTACTGCTTGAGCCACATCCCCAGCTCAAAAGCCCTAATTTTTGACAATGTTTTAAAATACTATTTAAAATTTTAACTTGGTGTTCTATGGAACTGTTAATAGGATTACAAAAGTTCCGTGTGTAGTTTGGGAAATGCTAGATCAAATAAATTGAAGCAGGGTTCTTATGTGAAGTAAGGGGCAGTAAGTTGCTCTCAGTAGGGCAAGTAGTTGGCCTGCCAGAGACTTAGCCTGACCATGTAGTCCTCTTTTTTCGAGCAGGACTCAAAGACTTTATTCTCCAAAAGTACTGTAAGTATTTAGAGATTAGAGCAAGAGATATATTGGATCCTAAGAAAATGGCCCAGTTTCTTAAAACAAGAAAAGCTTTTCTGGAACAAAGTCTGGGACATATCACTATACCTGCAGTTTTCAAAGGGAGATCAGAGGACCACCTGCATGGAGTCTGCTGGAGTACTTGTTTAAAAATGTCAATTACTACCCAGGTGTGGCGGCACACACCTGTAATCCCAGCTGAGGCAGGAGTATCCAAAGTTTGAGGCCAGCCTGGGCAACTTGGCAAGACTCTGTTCCAAAATTAAAAACAAACAAAAACATTAAACAAGAGCTAGGGGTGTATCTTGGTGATAGACCACCCCAAAATTCAATTAAAGTGGTGCGAATAAAAGAAAGAAGAAGAAAGTGAATTATTAGGAGCTGGGGTGTGGCTCAGTAGTATAGTGTGTGTTTAGCATGTGTAAGGTCCTGGGTTCAGCTCTAGCACTGTTTAAAAAAAAACCAAAGGTTGATGATTGACTCCACTCCCAGGGGAGGTGTGTGTGAGTGTGGCAAACTGTATGGTTCAAAAACATTTGTTACCCCACCTTGGGAAAGGATTATATGACTTTATCTGTCTACTGACTTGGCCACTACCGATCTGTCTGTAAATATTTCAGTGATAATTCACTTTTTAAAACAACATAACAACAAAGTCTGGGATATATCACTATAGCTGCTGGGATTACAGGCATGTGCCGATATGCCTATCCAAAGCCACAATACCACTATCATACCTGAACAACTTTGATAATATTTTTTTTTTCTTTCTTTTCTCTCCCTAAAGGTTTGTTTGAATTAGAGATCCTCCTGCAGGACTGACATTCTCTTGTAACTTTAGGAATCTGCCGAGCATGATGGTGTGCTCTGGGAATTCAAGATACTTGGGAGATTGAAGCCAGCCTAAGCAACTTACTGAGACCCTGTCGCAAAATTAAAAATGAGTGCTGGGGATGTACTCAGGGATAGAGCACTCTTGGGTTCATTCGGTACCCCCCCCCACACACACACATACACACAAAGAAAAAATTAAAAATCAGCAGAATAGATGGCTACCACATCTCTGTAGACAGGCTGGGCAGTAACTCCCCCTTACTTAAAGAACTTAAAGTAATTAACAAGGAACCTAAAGGCAGGAGGCCATATAAACTAAGTTATAGAAAGGAAACCCAAGAGATGAGGGTGCAAATGGAGTCAGGCATGGAGCTAAAAATGTGCATGCCCTGACAGTCACACTTACTTCACGAGGGCCACACGTCTAAATTTAAAGTTTCCAGTAGTCCAGATAGAAGGAGAAGCCTGGTTGGATACACCCCTCACAATGTCCATAAATTGAAGTAAATCCAGAAATAGGTTGGACAATTATCCCTGGTTCTATAAGAAGATAAAAATGTCTTACAAGCATCTTATCAAAATGGTATGGCGAACCATTCTGGCAATCACATCCTGGTAATAAACTATGATAGAGTTCTGGGGTGTGCCCAGACTCAAACTCCATGAGTGCAACTGTTTGAAGCTATAAATGAGATGAATGTGTTCAGAAGTATTTTGTGGACATAGTATTATGGTTTGGATCTAGAATGTCCCCCAAATCTCGTGTGTTTGGAGGTGTTGCTTTTGGTAAGTGATTAAATCATGGGGGCTCTGACCTCATTGGTGGATTAATCCATTGATTGCTGAATGAACTACTGGAAGGAGGAACCTAGTTGGAGAAAGGAGGTCACTGGGGATATGCCCTGGAAAGGTTTAGCTTTTTCTCAGTCTCCTTCCCTTCTCTCTGCTTCCTGGTTGCCTTAAGCTGAGTGGCCTTTTTCTACCAGGCCCTTCTCCCATGATGTTTCTGCCTTGGAGCCTGCTGACCACAGAATCCTCTGAGCCCATGGGCTTAAATAAATCATTCCTCCTATAAGTTGTTCTTGTCACATATTTTGGTTATAGTGACAAAAGACCAACACATGTGGGCTATGTACCTTGTATCCCAACACATTCAGATAAGCATTGTTAACACTAGGTCTCACCAGTGCCACACACCTAGATAGGTGTCCCAGTTTGCCTGGCAGAATTCCAGTTTTTCTCTTATCCCCATGTCCCATCGGTGTTACACTCCCTTTTATTCTGAGAAGTGTCCCAGTTTTGAGACTATCCAGAAAGCATCTCACAGACCTAAGGAGTCTTTCCCCAACCCAACCAGCTCTGGGCAATCACATGCTCCTCTGGCCAATGTGACAGACTCCTCTGGTTGCTGTCTTTCCAGTGGATCTCTCCGCCTCTCTGCATTCAGGTTCTTGGAGCCAAGTAAATACTTTTACTTATGCTAATACATGTGAATGTGATCACTGGCGTACAAGCCAACAAACCACATGGGGTTTACATATGTTAAAACACTTGCAGAGGACTGCACCTTAGATCCTTATTGGCTG